TTGGCGATCGCGAAGGCCCATTTCGGCGTCCACTTGTGCCAAGAGATTTATATCCGCGCTTTTCCCTAGAGTCCTCCCCCGTTTATGAAACAGTTGGTGAAATAATGTGGCAAGTACCTCGGTGTTTACTAGATTCATTTTCTACAGCACACTCCATGCCTACTTCAAACTTACCCTTTAATGGCACAAGATGTCAAACATTCGCAAATTTATGTAAACAGTTCAGTATTGGGTAGGGTGCCGCAGTTTTTTCGGAGATAGCGAAAGGATATAAATGTTGTGACACATTAACTAGGCTGAATATGTCTATATTAATTTTCAAATTGTATATAAAGCTCTGTATTCTTATAATATAACTTTCAATCCCAATCAAACTCGTAGTCTTATAAAGTCAACCACTGCTACACTTGCCCTGTAGGGACACCACTAGCTTCCCGTAGTAGATTCTGCACCAAGACACCCACAATGCAACCTTCCACAAAGTTCAAGAACCTCATTGAATATACCACTCTTGCAGCCACCACTGCACAGGAAATCGCAAAGACCACCGGTATTCATTGTTTGGGATCCACTTCGGCGTTGACTTTGTCGGTTGTGAAATGTGTTGAGGTAAGTCCCCTTCAGCATATCCACAGTGGCAGGAAAAGAAAACTTTTTTGAACAGGCAGTTCATTCAAACAAGGATGAATATTTCAAAATGCTGGTGCAAATACATGGAATTCTCTGCACCATTTTGAAACTATGTTCTCTGTCTGAAACACAAGGGGCCCTTCCAATGGCAGTGTTATATGACATAGCAAATTTCACCGAGTAAGCAGAGCTTTACCTATGCTTGAGGCACCCGCACTGATACCTCACAAAAGAACACTTGAAAAATTGCTCACGTTTCTGAAAGGCCAGGGAAAGATGGGAAAGATCAAGCAGGTGTTTAGGCATCTGGACAATGCCGCCCGACTGAAATAATATGGTAATGAACTCAGTCGTGCCCAGGAAAAAATTAGGGTAGGTTAATTCCATTTGCTGTTGTGCATCTCTGATTTATTTCAGGTTCGAGCCATGGGTTCAACAATGTCGCACATAATGCAAATGGAAAAAGATGCAAAGCAGCAGCACAAAGAGCTTGTGGCTCTTTTGAAAGCTTGCCCAGAACTGACCAACTCCGATGGTTCAACTGTGAGGACACTTTGTATTCCCTTCTCCCTGCTGAGGTTTCTTAGGTTTCGGAGACTTTGTCAAGTTATGCAAGCAGGTGGGAAGAAATTTGCATACCATGAAATTTGTTGAACATTTCATACAGCTCTGAATCCTTGTCTATGCTTCCGCAATCTCCTCAAATCTTCCACGGTTGTGAATCAGAGCTTCAGAAGGTTGTAAACATTCTGATGCAGGACTCCCCCCGTATTACTATCCTGGGTCCTGGGGGTATGGGAAAGACTAGTCTGGCCATAGTGGCTCTCCATGCTGAGGCAGTTGTGGAAAAATATTCACAACGATACTTTGTTCAATGCCATGCCAACCCCACATGCATGGAGCTGGTGTCAGCTGTTGCAGATCATGTCGGAGTTGAGAAGGGATCGAATCTGCAGAATAAAGTTGCTCAACACTTCATGTATGCTCCTCCATCTCTTCTGGTCTTGGATAATCTTGAGACATCTTGGGAATCGGTATCATCAAGGAAGGATGTTGAGGAATTCCTTTCCCTCCTGACAGATGTTCCCCAGTTGGGGTTGATGGTATGTGATGTTTTGCTCCAGGAGGTTATGACCAAGTATGACTCAACCAACTCATAGATCACCATGCGTGGTGCTGAACGTCCATCAAAAGTCAAATGGACTCACCCATTTTTGACATCTCTCCAGCCAATTTCTGACTCTGCAGCGCTCCAGGCATTCATTGAGGTTGCAGACAACATACATGAAGAAGACAAAGTAAAGCAACTACTTGAACTCACGGGATATATGCCCCTAGCAGTCAGCCTCATGGCGAGTGTGGCTGCTCATGAAGGCTGTGACAAAGCATTGTCTAGATGGGAAACTGAAAGTACATGCATGCTTTCAGATGGATATGACCACAGATCTAGTCTGGACATATCAATCATGTTGTCATTTACAAGTTCCCGCATGACTCTAGGAGCTCAGGACCTGCTCAGCATTCTGTCACTGCTTCCTGATGGGTTCACAGATGCTGACTTACTGCAAGCTGAACTGCCTATCTCAGTCATCCTTAAATGCAAGGCCACCCTGCTCAGGACGGCCCTTGCATTTGTGGATAAAGAAAAGCGAATCCGAGTCCTTGCTCCTATCCGAGAGCACATCCTCCATTCCCATCCCCCAACAAATGCACTCAAGTTAAAGCTTCGCAACTACTTCCATGATCTTCTTACTCTCTGGAAACATCACCAGGACTTTAATACAGCACAAATAGTGCCACAGCTTTCGAGGAATGTGGGCAATATAACCAGGGTTCTTCATGATTCACTTGTCACAGAATGTCCCGACGTGATTGAGAACTACCAGAGTATTCTCAATCTAAATCAGTTCTATAGACGGACAAAGGGAACCTATTCACCACTGCTGTTGAAAATTTCGGAACAAAAAGATTTTTGGGAAGACAATCCAATGTTCGGGGATTACCTGATACAGATGGTCGAAACTGCGTATTATGCACCTCTTGCTGATTTTGATGCAAAAATGATGCTGGGGAATAAATATTTTGAGTCCAAGGATCCGCTGGAGCAGGGTAAGACATATCCCCTTGATTGTGTAGTTTTAGCCTCATTTTTGACCAGCTAAATGGTCCATTGCACTTGGAGCATATTGGAGGATTGCCCGATCTGATGTGTTTAGTGGTCTTGCACATTATGAAAAAGCCCTGTCTTTGGCAGACAGTACTGGGTCCCCTACTATGCTTGCCCAACAAGCTCTGTGCCTGATAGCCAACAACATGTACTTTGCAGGCAATATCCACGGTGCACAGAAACATGCAAAGAGAGCGCAAGAATATGCAGAGGCCCTTGGCGGTATCTATGCACAGGCATATTCCCTGTACATCCAAGCTACATGTCAGATGATGTTTTCAAACTATTCAGAGGCTAAGATGTGTGGCAAAGAGGCCACACGGCTTCTGATCTCCTGTGGTCTTGAAGGCTGTCACCTGCATTTAGCACTGCAAAATTTGTATGCCGAGCTACATCTTCTTAAAACAGAATATCTGGAGTCACGTCTCATTCAGGTCTCCATCACCGCCGCTAGTAAACCAACATCATATGACTCAATTATAGCAAACATGAATATTGCTCTCATTGATATTGCTTGTGGAATAAGCTCAGAAGCCATTAGAAAAAAACTGGAGCAATGCCAGCTTTACTGCAAGTCATTACATGGGTGGACACAAACCCAGATAAAACTGGCAACATATCACCGTTTTGCAGAGCTTAGTCTTAGAAATGGTGATCTCAACAATGCAAATATGATGTTCACAAGTTGTTTTGCTCAGTCTCAGAAGGTTGACCTGGATGTGGCACCTGCTTGCCTTGAAAGACTTGCAGATCTTTCTACAGGATTGAACAATGTACCTACCACCAGTGGTTGGGCTGGGATATTCCTAGTAACAGCATTGAGGTCCAATAACAAGATGGGTACCATGAAAGCATTTCGCTGCCTTGGCCAGATTTCTACTGTGCAAGGGGATGATGAAACAGCACTGAGCCTGTTCAATGTGGCATTGGATGGGTTCACCTTGATGGATGTCCACCAGTGGAGGGCTGATTGCATGGTTCGAATGGCTGATATCTGGAAAAGTCGTGGAGAGGTCTTGAAGGCAGTTGGATTATGGAAGGCAGCAAGGCCTTTGTTTACAAGGTCCTCACAGGCAAAGAATGTTGCTCAGATTGATGCAAAACTGGCCAAGGTCGAGGCTGCAATTTTGGTGCATCACGAGAGACAGCTTCTGCAATTTGCAACATTGGATGTTTCCACTGGGGTTTTGAGAGTGATGGATCTTAAAAAGAGTCAAGGCCCGACCTTTGAAGAGAGGGGTCAAGAACTTGGAGACTGAGAACAGAAGACGCCGCAAGTTGCTCTTCAAACCTCATTGGTTGTTACACCACATATCCTTCTTCAATAAATTCCACCAGATACTGTAGTAAGTTGTACATAAGTCAAAACCTTGTAAAATGCCCGTAATTAGTAGACAGAATATGACCCATATAAAAAGTGAGTGTGCATATGGGCAATATACTATCCAATAATTACGTGAATTGTACAGGGTTCTTACTTACAACTTACAACTATTTGTGCTTTTTCAATACAACTTCATGCATTTGCCTAGAGCTGCTGCTCCATGTTTACAATCTCTACATCTCCTCAAATGTTCGGCATCATTGGGGATATGATTCCATTAATCATGACAGGTCCATCAATCATGGTGTTTTGTCTCAGAAAATACGCGGATGCTATTGTGAATTGTCATTTGTCATCTTGAAACGATTTTGTACATCCGTAAGAAACATTCGGTGGCAGGCACCGTTGGAGGCACTTTTTAAAGGCGACTTCAACATAGGTTTCCATTTCAAGGCCTTCTACCCGATGTATCATGTCTAGGAAGGTCTAATTACAAGTGTCTGTAGATGTAGATTATTTGCCACTGGACCTGTAAGACAACAAAAATGAGCTTGAATAAACGCGTGAAGTCCCTTGTTATATCCTCCTTAGACCAGATGCCCTCCTTAGTAGAAATCGGATATGTGGACCGTTGCCCTTCAAGCAAAATTCAGATAGACTCTTGCGGTGAAAAGGAATCTCAAGGGCCAAGGCATAATTATGCGTCACCTCACAGCCCTCCTTGCAAAATATATTATATCGCAGGCTCCGTGACTCCAACACGCAGACACGGATATCATACATCCGAGCTCTAGAAAAAGAGAAGTTCAAAGCTTGCATAAAGCAGAGGCGTGAACTTGGCCTACGGGCTAAAACGAAATTAAAGGCGTACATCCCGAATGGCCCAGGCTCGAGTCGAACAAGCGTCTTCTGCATTACATCATTGATCCCATCTTATTTACTTGGTGCAGATGTGGACCATCCACCACTGGGCCTGTAAAATGAATAAAAGATCTATGAATGAGGCAGAATTAATGTCATGGGCGAGAAAATTGGGAGAACAGCGCATTCAAATGGCCCAGGCTCGAGTCGCACAAGCACTTTCTGCATCCAGTGCTCATTCAATATACTGCAGACGCAGACCATCCGCTACTGAGTCTAGGCCTGAATATGGAAAGCCGGAACACCACGCTTTTAAGCGAAACAGCGGCATGATACCGAGTGATGGCATGTCTCCTTTGGTGTCTGGACCCCGAATACCACTCAACCGCCTCTGTAGCTGCTGTATCCTTTACCTGGTTACAGTGCTGAATTGAGAAATTTATCTGGAAAAAAAAGGACTCACACGGCTTCACTTCCAGGACGTGCCGCTGCACATTCTTACAGATTCCGGCATCTTCCGAAACAGTAACAGATGCAAACATTCCCAAAGAATCACAGCCGAATCCCGCCCCATACGCATCGTGCAGGTGCCTGAATATTCAGCAAAAGGAATGTACAGTAAATCCGTTAAAAAGGAGTGGATGGGTTCTTTAGAGCGGTGTATTTGTATGCATAAATCAATGCCCGTTCACGAGGCTTCCCCTGAGCGTATTATTTCACTTTTTTCTCTACCAATTGTTTGTTCCATTCTCGACCCACTTCCCCCCTCGTTGACCCTTTCTTGAATCTATTTAGTGCTTCGCACGCCTCTTCCTACTAATTTGAACGCGTACTGATTGATTTTTGGTCTTGTATTCTCATGCTATGCCTGGTGCTGCGCTTCACACCTTCCTCGCGTACTTCTTCCACCGGTCTATCAAGTGCAGCCATCAAGTCATTACAAATTCCTCCATCTCCTTTATTCTCAATTTGTGCGTGCTGTGACGCTTGTCAATTTTTTTTATCTCCTCCACCCGCTTACTTTCGTCGGCGGCGTGTTTGTTTGCGCTATTGGGTTCAAAGGCCCGTTGATCAACATTGAAAAACAGGGAATGAATGCAAATGAAAAATATAATTGGAGAACCAGCTGGTGTTTCTGATAGAATCGATGGAGTGCTTTAGGCACATGAGAATCTTCAATTTAATCCATCCTCCGAACCACTGGCTGCCACAAGTAAATCTTGAAGCCCCTATATAATTATAATCATAGCCAGTTTATACCTTAAACGCAGCCACGAAGGTTGAACGCTGGTTCGATCCACGTTGCTTGGCTAATCAAAATCGCACTTGTTTGTTACAAGTTTAAAAAAAATCAAGCCATTTCATGCCTTCAGGGGGAAGCGAACGACTGTTCTTCTTTGAGAACTATCCCGGTCACTCGTCCAAATTAAGAGAAGTGATGCCCTACAATGGACGTTGCTACCATAGGTTACCGGGAGAGAGCGCCATCATGATGTGAGGAACCCGTGTCTTCCTCAGTCCGGAGACTTACAAAGGAAGGAGCACCGCAATATATTTCGTTATTTCGTTTTTTCCATTATGAAAACGTGCCATTCCGCGGTGGTGTTGTGTGGAGCACTATTAATATTATTAAAATCAAAGAATAGCGATAAATGCAGTGCGGACTTCAGCGCTGCAAGAAACTCAACTCCTTGAGAGAAAATGAAATGAAATCTGAGAGTGTATGGCATGACTTAGGTTGACTGCGTGAGACTCACTTTACAGAAATAATGCAAACACACTAAGTTGAGCTTGAACTTGCTCGCCGTGGTGGCGGTGTAATGATGGCGCATCACGCGTTACAGCTGTGACTCGCAACCACGTCGAAAATATTGAGCTCTTTGTGAACTCGCCAAGAAACTGGACATGTGTGGCTGCGCCGCCACCTCACAGCGCACTCTTTCAGATCCTGATACCCGGTGTCGTTGGGGCGTCTTTGTCGCACACCACCGTCCCGTCCGGGGCCGTACGCAGCTCCACGCCTCAATCCGAACGTCCTGCGATCCAGTCGTGGCCGAATGCAGCTAGCTCTTTACCCGTAAGCCTGGACTGAAGACTGATAGAACTCCTCCACACGCCGCATACAGCCCCCGCCCAGCCCCTATGGCGGCGCCGCGCCCGATCTCTGCCCGCACCAGATGATGAGGAAGCGATCCGTGCCGCGTTCCCGTCCTTTTCCCGTGCCGCTCGTACATTCGCTGCGCCAAGCGATCACACGCCGTCTGTCAGACGACGAGGAAACGCACCCCCATCCCCGTCCTCCACCTAATCTACCGCGCCGCGCCATCGCGCCATCGCACGCCGCTTGCTTGCGCGTGCGCGCGCCTCACCCACTTCCCGGTGCGCCAGAACGTGTTGCCACCTGCGCGCCCCTCCCTCTCGACGCTATATGTCCGCGCCGCTCGTTGATATACCCCGCGCCGCGCGATCATGCCGCCGTCGTCACTTCCTTCCTAGCGCGCTACGATCGCCCGCCGCAGAATCATGTCCCCGCGCACCTTCCTTCCCGCGCGCGCGTACCTCCCTCGCTCGCAAATCTGCCGCGTTGCTCGCCGTCATCCACTCCCCACCACGCCGGTGTCTTGACGACCGCCTTGCGCACCCGTGCTCTGCGACACTACATACACACTCACGCTGGCGAAGGGGGCGCGCACCGCTCACTATTTGCGCCACGATTATTACCATCTCACGCGGTGCGCACTCTCGTCCGCTGCGAGACTACGGGCCCGCGCACGCGCACCCTTGACTTCATGCCGCACAGCTCGATTCTCTCCCGCAAACAACCTTCGATCCCTCTGCGTCGCAAGCGGACGGAGAAGCTCATGTACGCGCCCTGCGCTTGATCAATACCCGCCGCGTCCGCGAGCCCCACTTGCCCGCCACTGCGCTGCCATCTTCGCGAATCCACTACGCCGTCATCGAACCCGCGCGGCGAAGGGACACGCAGTGCAATTGCAGACGGTCCCCCACGTGTACCTGTTGCAGCGCAGTGGGGGGAGCGGGGGGACGAAGACGACTCCAGCGTCTCGCGCAGGCCCGTCGAAAACGCTCGATCCCCCCGCGCTGCATACATACGCACCTCACGCCCCTCCGTACGCCGCCCCGCCCTGCGCTGGAGATTCGTTGGAGATGTGGACACTCGTTTTCCAGGCTTAAGCACTGAATAAATGCCCTCCAGGCCTCGTGTCATGTGTACAAGTATTCCCGGAATGCAGAATCATCCGTTCTGAACGCCACGCCATGGTGCCCCCCGCATGAACTGTTCCATGACCCCCGCGCTCCTTGCGCTGCACCGCGAGCTGGATGCATAGCTTCTCGCGTTCTTCTCTCCCTTCCAATTCCATTCCACTCACTGCCTGCCACGCTTCGTCTTCGACTCGGTGCCCCAGCGACGAAAGATTGTCGATGCGTGCTCCATATTTCGAGTTGCTTTTATTGCCTTTACAGGGACCTGGACTGGTCCGCATCTGTAGTACATTTTGCCCCAGTACTACTGGAAGTGCGCATTCGAATTCATGCGTGCTATGTTCGCAGTCATTTTATTCTTTTAATTACAGCCAGTTCGCATTTGCATACAAATTGGTTTTTGCCGCCCAGCAGGTTGCTTTATTCAAGTAGCTTTTATTGTTCATGCGCACAAGTGGTGGATGTACGCTTCTGCAATAGGTGTAGTTGACATGGGAAAACTATTGCAGATTAATTCTTCATGCCTCACGCTCGCTCTCATTAGAATCGAGCATCGTTGCGGATCCGAATCATTGAGTGGTGGGTGGAGATATTGGATGAAAATTGGATGAAAAAAAAAAAAGCCTCGAGTCATAAATTCGAACTGTAAGAAGCAGATGTTGAGATTCGAAGAAATGGAATATGCTGTTTGATAATTGATTGGCAATTGCTGCCCGATGCGTCACGGACTTGGCACTGGCACCTCAAAACGGTGATCAGAAAGTCAGTTCATATCGCATACAAAACCCTCTGTCCAGTCAATGACTGGTTACTTGCGCAGCACTCCTGCCAGGCTGCCACCCGAATGCTTCGCAACAGACTTTTCTAACAGTTAGCTCCCGGAGTGTGACATACATTTCGCGGTTGACTACAAACACTACATAATGGGGTACCTTTGTGCAGGGAAATACACGGCCTCTGAGGAGTATAACATGAGTAAGTACAAGAATTTGAGCTAAGTTCTGCAATGGCCCTAATAGAGAGTGGAGTCATTTTTTTTGTAGAGAAATCTGTGAATGGTGAACAAGGAGTTATATTTACAAGGAGTGAAATATCTGACAAATGGAGAATTCATAAGTGACTACAGTCCATGGTGAACAAATGGAACCCAGCGCTGAAAGGTCATTCCTGGTTCCTTGTAAGGTATGGGCCATACAAACCTCGCAAACGTCACGTGTCGTTACTTTTTGTGACTGATGCCGTCCAAAAGAGGGCAATTTCTAAAGAATAATCTCGCAAATAATAGCACATTCACCTGGGCCTAAACGCCTCCATGAAAACATCCTAATACATCCTTAGAACCATCTGAGAAAAGCACTAAATATTTGAGCTGGTGTTGCGTGAGGAGATACCTTCGCAATGTCATCGGCCAGAAAAGTAATTATATGTGCATACCAAATTGTGCTCTAAGCTACGGAATATAGATGAAATATGATACAGGGTATCCCAAAAAAGACTCTAATAGATCTCAGCCTCCTCTAGCTCCTGCAAGATTGATTCAGGGAGCATGCGATGCCCACGGTACTTGCGTGCTGCCCAAGCTGCCTGGCGACCATTTCAGTCCCTTGGCGTAGGCATCTGCAAACTTCTGGCAGCGGTTAGAAAACCTGAAAATTGATGAGAACTGGGCTGAATGGAATTATCAAGACACTTACCGACGCATCATGTCAAGCGGCACGGCGCTCAGAGCCTCCCGAACATTTCTTTCCAAGTCATCTTCACGAGAAGACTCAGGGAAAAAGCGATAGATCCGTTTTGAATAGTCCCAGCATTGCTCAATGAAGTTGAGCTCGCAATGGAACTTTGGGAGAAACAGAACCTCGAATCCTCGATCAAGGCAGGTCGTCTC